GTGGGTTGTGTGTTTCTCAAACTGAAAAGCAGTTGGTGGCTGGGGAACCAACGGAAGAAATGTCTTATCTTAAAAACCTGCAGGGCAGATCCCACCCTCCTCCCCTGGCATGGGGCCAGGGGCTCCGAGCTGGGCCACAACCTCATCCAGGACATGCAGGAATTAAACTGGGAGGGGGGGGGGAGGCTCCACAAGGAGTTTTAAATCCTGCAGGTGGGATTTGCAGGGAGGAGGTGGATGACAGCCACCTCAGCACACGTTTGCCAGGCAGGTGCCCACACTCTGGAGTCAGGAGCTTTGCCAAAATACTGGAAAACTGCTGGTGGTGAGGGTGGAGTGGTGAAAAATTCGTGTCCTGGAGGTGCTGCCTGTGTTGGGGGAAAGCTGTGTACCTGTGTACCACCTTCCTCTGACAGAGATGGTGCCGTGGAGTAAATGCTGAGCTCATCCATTCTTGGCTCTCCAGGGGCAAACATGGAGCAGGAGAGAGGAGAGGGAGTCTGGCAGCACCGTGAGCCCCACACAGCAACTGCTTACACGGATGTTACGCTCAGATTCCACATGAATCCTGTCTCTATTCCAAGGAAAAGAGGTTTAAATCTCCTTCACTGCACTGGAACTGGATGTGTGTGAGGAGGCTTGGCTCCAGCTGCTGGTGTTCCTGCTGAGGCAGCTATGGAGCCTGTCTGCTCCAGGGATTTAGTCCAGTCCGATGAGGAATGGGCTCAGAGTACATGACATAACCTCTCTCCCTCTGTGTCCTAGCCAAGGTTAAGAAGTCAGGGAATTTTTTTTTAATAGGAACAATATCAAAGAGGTCTCTGCGTCATCTCCCCATCAGTGACTTTCCTGTTCACGGAGATTTGCACCCTTTGAAGTGCCTGATAGTAAATAAAGGCGCATCATTTATAAATGAGGCTGAAGCCAGAAATCCCTTTCTCTGTCCTCTCTGTTTACCAACCCAGGCTTCCCAAACCGGAGGGAGAATTCCCCTGACATCAGTGACCTGCTGAGGCAACTTCCAAGCGTGGAATGGAGCTGGTGAGGAGGGAAGACCCCCAACTCTGGGAGGTCGTGTGGTTCGCCGGGCGCTGTCGAGCCCTGACACTGCTGCTGCAGGCAAGTCTCCTGTCCCTCAGCCAGTGGAGCTGGGACAGCTGGAGTGTGCTGCTCCCAGGCTTCTCTCCTTAGTACCTCTTGTGCTCCATGAGGTGCTTCTGCTTGATGGGGAAACCTGGGGTGCCTGGAGTGAGCGTGTGCAGCCTGAGCAGCTTTCCCTGGCCAGTGCGGTGGGGATTCATGCTGGATACATCCCCCAGAGCTGGATACATCCCCCAGAGCTTTATTCTGTTCAGATATAAATAAATAAGGTTGTGTTTGCCCCTTTTCCCAACCTCACAGGCGTCCTTACAAACGAAGCCCCTCACCCTGACTTTGGTGCTGCTCTGATCCCTTTGTTTGAACCCCGGGAGTTCTCCTGCCCGCTGCTTTCGGCACTGGAGGATCCCTGCCGGGCTTCAACCCTCTCTTCTTTTTCCAGGCTGCCTTTAACCTGCTGATCCCGGATCACGCCGCAGACGCCTTCTCTCCCCCTCGGCTGTGGGAGCCCAGCCCGTGGGACGTGCTGGTGGAGTGGCTGCTGGGCGGGCTGTCCCACTGGGATGCAGAGCACTTCCTCTTCATCGCGGAGCACGGATACCTGTACGAGCACAACTGCGCCTTCCTCCCGCTCTACCCCCTCAGCCTGTGGGCCGTGGCCGGGGGGGCCCTGTGGCCCCTGCAGGGGCTGCTGCGGCTGCGGAGCCGCCTCCTGCTCTCGGCTGTGCTGCTGAATTCCCTGTTTTCCGCCCTGGCAGCCGCTGCCCTGTACGAGCTGGGCCGTGTGGTGCTGCGGCGGCGCCGCCTGGCCTTCCTCGCCGCCCTCCTCTTCTCTCTCAGCCCCGCCAACGTGTTCATGGCAGCTGCTTACTCGGAGAGCATGTTTGCCTTCCTGGCCTTCGGTGCCATGTGGCAGCTGGAGAAGGGGCAGAGCTGGCTCAGTGGGCTGCTCTTCTCCCTGGCTTCTGGGGCTCGTGCCAACGGGCTGATTAACGCTGGCTTCTTCCTCTACTCTCAGGGTAAACGCTTTGCCCTCCAGCTGCAGGTGGGATCAGGATCCCTAAGGAAGCTCCCTCTGTTGTGGAAGCAGGTCCTTAGCCTGGCATCTTCGGCGGTCCTGATGAGTGCTGGGATTTTTCTACCTTTTGCTTTGTTTCAGTACTATGCCTACCTGAGGTTCTGTGGTCCTGGCACCGGCCTGGATCAGACCATTCCCGAGCCACTGCTGCAGCTGGCTCGGGACAAGGGCTATCATCCGGCAGCCATGGATGGGGCTAAACCCCCTTGGTGCTCCCAGTGGGTCCCTGTGGTCTATTCCTACATCCAAGACACTTACTGGAACGTGGGCTTTCTAAGATACTTTGAGCTCAGACAGATCCCAAATTTCTTGCTGGCTTTGCCTGTGACCCTTCTGGTCTCGTGGGCTGCCTGGAGCTACATCAGCACAAACCCCCGGCACTGCCTGACTCTTGGTCTGGAGCGAAGTAAGAGTGAAGAGGAGGGAAAACCAAGAGATGGATTTTGCTGCCCTGCTGCCTTTGTGTACGTGGTCCATGCCACGGCCCTGCTGGCCTTTGGATTCTTCTGCATGCACGTGCAGGTAGGACACTCATGGCACATATTCCTTTATGGGGTCTGAGGGAGTGACAGGCACAGCCCAAAGCTGTCCCAGCTGCAGGGCAGCACAGGGGAATGGAAACCAAAAACTGGTGGCACCAAAGTTTGGGAGTTCCAGTAACAGAATAATCAAAGGCTGAGATTCAAATCTGCCCTGAGCTGGGCAGTGACAGGGAGCAAAACCTGGGGACCCCTTAGCTGCTCACACAGTGTTGTAAGAGATGAAGCAGGCTGTGCTGGGAGGTCATATTGATGTAATAAATCCTAATGCCGTGAATTGGGGTTGTATTTCCATCCCCTTTATCAGCAGCCTAAGGCAGGCCCTTGGCTCCTTCCACACCTTGGGATCAGGGTTCTTTCCATGCCTTGGGACTGGGGCTCCTTCCACACCTCGGGGTCAGGGCTGGCCACAATTAGAGAGCTGCAGTTGGTGTGAATTTTGCTGTGCCTGTTGTCTCCAGGTGCTGACCCGGTTCCTCGGCTCCTCCTCTCCCATCCTGTACTGGTTCTCCGCTCACCTGCTTCAGGAACACGAACCTTTACTCTGGAGTGCAGGGACTGATAATCCACCCCCTGGGAGGTCTGTCCTAAGTAAATCTCCCAGTTCCAGTGGGAAAGGGACTCCAGACAACCCCGTTGTGAGGCTGCTGCTGAACTGGCGATTAATTACCCCCCTCAGCAAGGGCATCCTGGGATTCTTCCTGTGCTACTGGCTGCTGGGACTGCTCCTGCACTGCAACTTCCTCCCGTGGACATAGCAGGATGTGCTGGCACAGACTGGGAGCAGTCAGAATTGAAACTCATTTTTTCTGGAAGCCTGACGTAGCTGTGATGCTGTTGCAGTTACAAAGGTGTTACTCCTCCGTTACTACGTGTGTACGGAGCTGCTGTGTCCCAAGTGGGATGTTCTCCACGGTGTGATGGTGCAGTGTCCTGTTACTGACAGCCAAAATTCCCATTCCCTGGGACAGGAATGCACCTCGGTTCCTGCATCTCCTGGGGGAGACTTATGGCAGGCAGTGATTTATGGTGGGGCCGGTGTGATGGATTTGGGAACCCTCTGGGATGTTGTTGGTGGGCACAGCTGGAGGACAGGGAGGATCCAGCTGCTGTGAGCAGCTCAGACCATGCTGGTTCCTTCTCCACAGCTCCAAACCGGCTGGGCTTGGCCTGGGGTGCTGTGGGGGCAGGGCAGGGCACGGGTAGGGGGTGGCGGCGGCGGGGCCGGTGGGTTTGGGAACGGGCACAGCACTCCTAATGAAACACGTGAAGATTACCGGTGAGGGGCAGACTCACCGCCACTCTGCTGGCAGGGGCGGGGATTAGGGGGCGGGGATCCCGGAGGATCGAGGTCAGGGTTGGGATTGCGAGTGGGAATCAGGGAGTCAGGGCGGGATCAGGGGTCAGGGGTTTCCGGGTTGAGATGGGATCGATGTGGAGTTGGGCTCGGGGTTTCGGGGATTGGGGTCAGGGGTTGGAGATCGAAGGTCCCGAGGTTGGGCTTGGATCTTGGATGTCAGGGTTGGGATCGGGGTCGGGGTCAGGGGTCCTGGGGTTGGGATCGGGGGGTTTGGGATTGGGATCAGGGTTATGATCGAGGGTCCCAGGATCAGGGTTGGGATTGGGGCCTTGAGTCCCGAGATCGGGGATCCCAAGATCGGAGTCGGGATCAGGATTGGAATCGGAATCGGTGTCGTGGCCAGGGTTGGGGCTGGGATCGGGGTTGGGATGGGGATCAGGGGTCCCGGGATCAGTTTTGGGATGGGGATCAGGGCTCCCGGGACCAGGGCTCGGTGTTGGGATGGGGATCAGGGCTTGGTGTTGGGATGGGGATCAGGGCTCAGGGCTTGGTGTTGGGATGGGGATCAGGAGCAGGGCTCGGTGTCTGCGGATGGGGGATCAGGGATCAGGGCTCGTGTTGGATGGTGATCAGCGGTTCCCGGGATCCGTGTTAGATCACGGGCTCCCGGGCTCTGTCTCGGCGTCCGTGCGGCGGCGGCCGGCAGGGGCGCTGTGCGGCGGGGCGGGCCCGGGGGCGCGGGGCGGCACCGGCCGGGGCCGGGCTGGCAAGGCACGGGCCGGGGCCGGGCCGGGAGCGGGGCCGGGCGGGAGCGGCGGGGCCGGGCCGGCGGCCCGGTGCGCCGCATGCGGGGCCATGAAGGGACTGCGAAAGAGTACCGGCAGATCCCGCCCGGGCGGCAGGCGGCGGCTCGGGCCGGGCACATCGCCTCGCCGCCCCCGCGCCCGCCGTCCCCCCGCGGCCGCGGCGGCCCCCGCAGGAAAGTGGAGGTGTTCCCGGCGCAACCGGCTTCTGTCTGCGGCGCGCCGCCTCATAGGCTGGCGCGGCACAGCGGCGTCTTCGTCCTCACCCTCGGCCTCATCCTGGTCACCAGCGGCCTCTTCTTCGCCTTCGAGTGAGTCTGGGGGCGGCGAGGCCGTGCGGGGGCTGTCCCTCGGCTCCTTCCCCGCAATCAGCCCTTGACCCCCCCTCTTTGAGCCCCCTCCGTTCGGGGGAGTTGGGGGTTAGTTGGCATCCCACCCTTATCCCCGTGGTGGAGGGAGGTGGGCTGGGGGGACGCCTTCCCCCCTCCGTGGGAGCCCCGTTATCCCCCCCTTCTCCCCACTGACCCCTCCAAGCCCTTTCCCCACTGCACAGCCCCCAGACCCCCTTCGCAGGCAGTCACTGCCCCCATCACCTGTCCCCAGGTGTGTTTATGGGGGCCCAGAGGTGTCCCTGCACCTTGTTTGCTTAGTGTGGCCCCGGGAAGGGGTTTAACATCCCCCCAGGATCCCCCACGGTCTCTAAATATGCCGCCCCCACCCCGACCCAGTGTCCCGTTCTTGCTCCCAAGACGAACTGGCCTAAAATTGCAGCCGAGGGAACCCCGAGAGGCTGGTGGGCTTTGCCCACCGCTGGGATCTCGCGAATAGTGCTTTCTGTTAAATGGTGAAATCCTTGGGGTCCCACTCCGAGGGTCTGCACTGGAGCTCTGCCCCCGCTGGAGCGGGGTGTCCGGGGAAAGAAGGGCAGCGTGCACATCCCCGCCCCCTTTCCTTTGGAAAGCTGCTCCAGGGAAAGCTCCCTGCTCCTGCACCCTGAGGGAGGGGAGAGCCAGGAGCACCCCGTTATGTCCTGCACTGCCCTGCAGGAGGGCAGGAGCACCGTGGGTTATTGGCACCTCGGAGGGATTCTGCCGTCCCGCCGCGGGAGGGAAGGGAGATGCTTTTCCCTGGGGCGGGAGGGCAGTGCCTGCCTTTGGATCACGGCGTTATCCCCGCAAGTCTTGGAGTAAAGCTGCCGGAGCCTGCTGGCGGGGAGATGAAGGCATTTGATCGGATTAGAGGTTCTGAGAAGTCAGATGAGCTGAGAGGGGCAGGCAGCTGCGGGAGGCAGTCGCAGCATCCCGCTGGAAAAACTCCTTTCTCCCGTGTCATCCGTGCCCCTGACAGCTCCCTGCGCTGGGTCTGGGACTGACGGGCAGCTCTAGCACAGTGACTGCTTTGTGTGGCCAGGCAGAGGACATCTGCTCTGCCTCCCTCCTTGCCGAGTCACTCTCTTGGGCTTGAAGATGCCCTGGGGCTTTCCAAGTTGTTATTTTAGCAGGATGCCTCTGTTGCACTGGTTACTGTTTGCTGGATGTACAGCAATCTTGCCTGTGTCTACGCTTCGTGTTTGTATGGAAAAACCTGGAGCAGATTGCCCAGAGAAGCTGTGGCTGCCCCATCCCTGGAAGTGTTCAAGGTCAGGTTGGATGGAGCTTGGAGCAACTTGGGATAGTGGAAGGTGTCCCTGCCCATGGCAGGGGGGTGTAACTGGAGGATTTGTAAGGTCTCTTCCAACCCAAAACATTCTGGGATTCTTTGATTTATGTGATTTCTTGTTCTCTGATGGGGCAAAGTGGGCTCCAGAAGTTCTCCCAGGAAAGGGGTGACAACAAGATCACATCTCCTTTCACAGACCTTTCTGTCCCTCTGCCAGAGAGTCGACCAAGGGGCTTGGGCTGAAGGGGCTTTGTTGCTTAGTGGCTGCTTTGTTCTGGACAGCTGAGCTCGGGAGGTGAAACAAAAGTTGCTTAATCCTCTCAAAACTGCTGCAGAGCATTGCTGAGCCTGAGCACTGCCCACAGGCATCAGGGCTGGGGCAGCCTGTCCGTCTGTGCCGGGTGTGATCAGTGCTTGTGACAGCAAATCCCTCTGCAGGAGGGGTCTGTGGCACTGTGTGTGTCCCCTGGTGTCCTCACCTGCCACCCGAGAGTAACGGAGCTGCGCTGGTGTGGAGTGTGATCACACCAGTCCCCATCTATGGAAAAACAGCCCCAGGTTGTAGCAGGGTGAGCCCAGGAGTGGCTGTTGACTGCAGAGATGCCTGGTGGCTTGTCACAGGGCCCAGTGCTGGAAGTGTCCTCGTCCAAACATCTGGCACACCAGGAAGGGCACATGAGTCATCCAGAGTCGGCAAAGCTGTGTTGAATCGGAGCCAAAATCCCCCTCAGCATCATGTGTTGGACAAAAAGGGATCGTGGTCACGCTGATTCTCATCCCTGTGTGGCTTGGGGGGTTTGCCTGTGTGTTCCTGGTGGTGCTGTTGTAGAGGTGACCAGGCTTTGGGGCGGCTGGGGGGTTTTTGAGACGTGATTCTGGGACTTCAGAAGACAAAAGAGGTTGTGTGCAGGGGCCTTGGTGTGTCTTGGTGCCAAAGACCCAGCACCACTCCAGTGTTTTCTGGGCTGGCTCTTGCTGTTCATAGAATATCCAGAGCTGGAAGGGACCCACAAGGATCATTGACTCCAGCTCCTGGCTCTGCACGGGACACCCCCAAAAAGGTTGATAACCCCAAAAAGGCTGTCATACCCAGAGGTCTCTGCAGAGCAGCAGTGCTTGAGCCCACTACCCTGTGATAATTCCTAGTGTGTATGTCCCAGCTGACACCTGGTTCTCTACAGTGATTGAATGTTATCATTTTATCCATGTTTTTAACAGCTGCCCATTCCTTGCCACTCACCTGACCTTGGCCATCCCCATCATCGCCGCCGTCCTCTTCTTCTTTGTCATCAGCTGCCTGCTCCAGACAAGCTTCAGAGACCCAGGAATCCTGCCCAGAGCCACCCCAAGTGAGGCAGCAGACCTGGAAAAACGGATTGGTGAGACCTCTGTTCCCTCTCCTGTGTTTGGTTCAGTGCATGGCTGTGTGTCTGTGCACACGCACATTCCAGGCTCAGCGAGCCCCACTTTTTGGGTCTTGCCTCCTTACTGGTTGTCCAGGGGATGAGAGAAACCAGAGTATCACATTGTGAGGCTTGAGAGTGTCTTATGAGTCCTGGTACGAGGTGCAACAAGCTCCTCCAGCGCAGCAGGCAGTGCTTCAGAGAGGATCTGCAGAGCATCAGAGGTGTTTTTTGTTCCTGTTCAGTCCCATCGCCTTCCCAGGCAGCAGAGTTGAAGGATAATTAATGCTTTTTAAGATTATGCCTTTCCATTGGGCCTGCTGTGCTGCAAGGTGTTCTTTAGTGTAGGCTAATGTTTGTCCTCTTCTGAAAACTGCTCTGTCACGCTGGTTTGGGGACAGCCAAGAAGGTGTTTGCATCCAGGAGCTTTGGACCTTGTTGCTGTGACTGGTTGTAATAAATGCTTTAGGAAAGCTGATGTGAGACAGCTTGAATCTGTCCCGCTGAAGACAGTTGCAAGGCAGTTAATTCTACATCTGACTTAAAAAATGGGTTTAAAATATCCCCAGAGTGGTGATCCAACGTTTCTATTTATAAGGGCCTAAAGCAGTAATCTGGCTGCAGATGCTGCCTGATGTGCCAGCTGTTACTGTTAATATAATCCACTTATTATCCTCTTAACATGCTCACTGTTGCATCACTGTTTTCAAAGACTCCCTCAGAGCTGGAAAGGTGCTCTTTTAGGAGGGACTAAAAGGAATAATCCCCAAAATTGCAAACATGATGCAGGGGTTTTCTGGCTTTTACTGTGCAGAGCAACAGTCTCCAGCTGCCAGTCCCCAGGGAACAGTGAAGTGGCATCACACACAGACAGAACTTGTGTTTCTAGAAATCTTCAGTTTCCACCTCAGGGAGGAGGAATCCTCTCATGCTATGAACACACACATGTCAAATCTCAGGGAATCTGCTGGAGCACTTGGGACGTGTGGTGATGGAAATGAATCCCTTGAGGCTGGTGGTGCCACAGCTCCAGCTGTGGGGTGGCAGGTTGTGTGCTGGGACGCTCCTGCTGAGGCCACCCTGAGTCCTGTGGCAGCAGAGGAGGAACCACACGTGCATTCACAGATGTTGTGACCCCTTGGACTCGCAGAGACGAGCTGGTGTTACTGGGCACTGCTTTACACTCACCATTTCTAAATTGCTTGACGTTCTCACAGCACTTGGGCACTTACTGCTTCCTCTTGGCACCCCAGCCACCGAACAAAGAGAGGACATAAATAACGCTGTGAGGAGCTGAGTGGAGTTCCTGGCTGCCTCTTGGCTTTCCCTAAAACCAGGGGAGCACATGCCAGTCCCTCCCCCGTGCTGGGAAGCAGTTCAGGGGGAAGGTGCAGGCTCTGAGTGTCCCTCCTTGCCCTCACAGACAGCATGGGGACCTCCACGTACCGCCCTCCCGCCCGCACCATGGAGGTGGTGATCAACAAGTACGTGGTGAAGCTCAAGTACTGCTACACCTGCAAGATGTTCCGCCCCCCGCGCACCTCCCACTGCAGCGTCTGCGACAACTGCGTCGGTGAGCGGGGCAGGGGCAGGGGGGCTGCTGTCCCAGGGGGAAGGGGGGCTTAACTGTGTGATCACAGGAGATCTTGAGCTGAAAGGGACCCGCAAGGATCATCCAGTCCAGCTCCTGGCCCTGCCCACGGCACCCCAACAATCCCACCCTGTCCCTGAGAGCGTTGTCCCAACACTCCTTGAACCTCGGGGCTGTGCCCACTGCCCCGGGGAGCCTGTTCAGTGCCCCACCACCCTCTGGGGGAAGAACCTTTTCCTAAAATCCAACCTAAACCTCCCCTGACACAACTTTAATACCGTTCCCTTGAGTCCTGTCACTGATCCTGTCACTTTTGTTCCTGGACAGATTGCTTTTTCTTCTAAAGGATTATAAAACAAGATACTGGGTGGTCTGTCTTCTTCTCATTTAAAATGAAAGCAGCACCAGTGCAGTGGCTTAGGTCCAAGACTCTTTGTCTCTGTTTTTCCTGCTTCTGGAAGGATGGTACTGAAAAATGCAGTTCAGGCCTCCAACAAACAAGGTTTGCTGCAGGCTCCTTGCTGTGTGTGGCCTTGCTGTCCCCGGGCTGGCAGAGACACCATCATAGCTGCTGGTGTTTGGGGATAGCCCTGGGTGGCTGTGCCTCCTGCTGAGGCTGGAAAGCAGCAGTGTTTGCAGAGGAGGTGTCTGGGGGAGCAGGCTGTGCTGTGAGTTGTGTTAGCAGTGATGCTCCGCATGAAATGGTTACCACAGTCTTGTCAGCCCTTTCATTAGGGTGTTTCCAGATACACTGCACCTGCCCCAGGTTCCCAGGCAGTTTCTGTGGGTTTAGAGATGTATCTTTATAACTTGGAAAAGTATTTCTGCCCCTAAGAAGGAGGAGGGAGCTGACACACAAGGAGGGAGCAGCCTTGCCACGTGCACACACCCAGTGCTGTGGGGAGCTGGAAGAATTCCTGCTCTGTCCCTCTTCCCTTTCAGTTGCAGTGATAGTTACCAGTCACAAGGCTTGTATTTAACAGGTTGTGAGAGGAAAGGTTTGACCCTTGGTGACAAAAAAGACCATGTGAGCAGGCAGCAATGCTCCACTGAAACTTTGTGCCTACGTGCTGCTGCGGAGAGGTTGCAGTCTCCGGATGGTGGGTGGAAGCTCGATTTGTAGCTCCTCATTTCTGGAGTCTGAGCAGAGTTCGCTCCATTTTGGGGTTGAGGTGGCAGGAGTCCTCACTTTGTGTCCCTCACGTGTCCCTTTGTTTCAGAGAGATTCGATCACCACTGCCCCTGGGTGGGGAACTGTGTGGGGAAGCGCAACTATCGCTTCTTCTACGCCTTCATCCTCTCCCTCTCCTTCCTGACCGCCTTCATCTTCGCCTGCGTCGTCACCCACCTCACCCTGCGTGAGTACCACAGGTCCTGCCACTGCTGTGTGCTGTGCTCAGGGCCACCAACAACCTCAGGCAGCTCTGGGTCACTGCTGCTGTTGGGACAGAGCGTGGGAAGGGCCCGGTTGGGTTACACCAGGATTTTGAGTGTGGGTCTCAAATAAACAGGGCCCCAGACTTCAGGGAACCACAGATCCAGCTGCACCTTGCTTGCTTGAGAGCTGGGGATGGAGTTCTCCCCATCCAGAGCAGATGAGCTGGTGCTGCATCCGCTCCTAACCTGGCAGGGAAGGTGACTTTCCCATCAGCCCCAAATCTCCTGGAGCTGTGTCTGTGCGCTGACATTTCTGCTGACTCCCAGACTGCAGATGTTGCTCAGGCAGACAGACAGATCCATACAGCTCTCAGGGAGGTGTCTGCCTGCTCAGGAGGGGAGTTTTGGCTGGAGAGGCAGGGCTGCCTGATGGGATGCCATTCCTTGTCCCGTTTTGCTTTGCAGGTTCTCAAAGGGATGGATTCCTGGCCACTCTGAAGACGACACCCGCAAGATATCCTTGTGCTGCCAGCAGCTGCTTGGGGTGCCCAGCACTGGTGCAGCAATACTAATTAACAGGGAGGGGCCAGGAGCTCTTTGTAAGGGTGGGTGACAAACTTGTTTCTGAGTTTGCCAGTTTAGATGGAGAGGGGAGCAGCTGGAGCAGGCTGTGCCTTGGTGGATCCCTGCAGACCAGCACAGGGAATGGGAAGCTTGCCCAAACCTCCCCAAACAGCCCTCTGCCTCTCCTTGCAGGATGATTTTGTTCTTTGAGACTTCCTTGACTTTTGCTTCACTGTGCTGGAGCTGGTGATCTGTTTTTTCTCAGTCTGGTCTATTTTGGGCCTCTCAGGTTTTCACACTTATTTAGTCGCCTCCAACCTGACAACAAATGAAGATGTAAGTACCTTGTCCTTCTCTATCAGTACCTGAATGCTCCTCCTTCTGCCAGGCTGTCCCTGATCCACCCTGAGCAGGTTTTCAGGGAGTCCTTGGCTGTCTCAGTGCAGTGTTTCAGTAAGATGTGCTGCCTGCATGGCCTGTGATAACCCACTGCAGAGCAAACAGCCTGTGCCCAGGGCATTCAGGCTGCAGTTTCAGGTAGCTGAGTTAGAACCATCACGTGTGTGTTTTTTCCAGTCTGCTTGTGGCCTTGCTTAAAATTAGGAGTTCTGAGATTAAAATAAAGAAGGCTGGCCCCAGAGATTTATTTGGGTGTCAGCTTGGTGATGTGAATTCAGCATCCTGTATAACCACAGATTTCCTCCGAGAGCCTGGGCAAGTCCCTTTGTCTCTGGCGGTTCCTCATCTCTAATTAGCAAATAATGCACAGACATCTGATGAGATTTACCTTCAAATCTGAGGTGCATGCAGACTCCAAGGGCCAAATGAGTGCCCTGAGTGGGGCAAATTGTATGGAAAAGCAGGATCTGTCTGATCCTCAGAATCAAAATTCACCCTTCTGGCCAGAAGTACCTGTAATCCTTGCTGGAAGCTTCCAGGTAGGTTTGCATCCCTTTTTTTTTTTTTTTTTGGCTTTTTCCCCTTTCCTCTCCACTTGAGGTGTGGCAGAACTGCTCAAGGCCATGTAAATGAAGCTCATGGAAGTTGTACCCCAGTACAGAGAGCACCAGCAGCCTGTTGCCTCTCTGGCCTCATTGCCAGCCTTATGTTGCAGCTGGGGGGGGAGAGAGTGAAAACAAGAGGAGGAAATGTACTGGTAAATGTGTTGGTAAATGGTTCACTGGAGCTGGGGCCTGAGGCCAGGTATAGCATCTGCCCACCAGTGTGTGCCCACGCCTGCTGCAGCCGGGGTTTCGAAACCAGAGTCCTGTGACAGCTGCTCAGGGTGGGGACAGATGAGGCTGTTGGTTGCAGCATGAGCTGGGAATCCCCTCCTTGTTTGTTCAGCCTGAGGGGCCCAGGAGGGACCACAAGCTGGAGCCCTGCTCTGATGGGCTTTCAGCCTTGGAGAGGGGAGGAGGAGGAGGAGAAGGCTGGCGTGGCAGATGGTGGCAGTGACACGTTGCCACGCAGCACAAGGAGGGCACAGCTTCAGAGCTTTCCAGCTGCAAGGCTGAACCTTGGCATAGGAAGAGGCAGCACTTTGCTGCTTGTTAAAGCAAAGAGGGAGGATGTTTGCAGCAAGAGAAACCTTCAGCCTCTCAAGCAAGGGCCTTAATGAGTCCAGTATCCAGTCCATCCTCCTGTCATTATCTGCTCCCACATCTTTCCCATCTTGACCTGTGTCCATCCTTCCCCTTTCAGATCAAAGGGTCCTGGTCAAATAAGAGGGGCTCAGAGTTTGCCAATCCCTACAGCCATAAAAGTATCCTCACAAACTGCTGTGCGGTGCTGTGTGGACCATTCCATCCCAGGTAAGAGCCTTGGGCCTCCACAGCACTGGGAATTGCATCCTGCTCTGGGAAAGGATGGATTTATCATGGTTCAGGGGAAACTCCCAGCACAAACACGTCCTCTTTGATGATGTGGAGGAAACAGTTTCCCACTCTGCAGAGAGAGGCTGGAGGTGTGCAAGTAGGAGATGAACTGTTGCTTCTGTGTTGGAGCTTGATGAGTTTGGGTCACTTGTAATTGTTTCATGGAACTTGAAGATAAAACACATCCTGCAGCTGAATAAGGGGAGAGTTACAGCATGAAAGGGCTTGACAGAAGATGGTCAATACTAGTACTGGCATTATTTCTTGTCCCCATGGCAGGGGATTGGAATGAGATGACCTTTAAGGTCCCTTCCACCCCAAACCATTCCATGATTCTATGATTTTTTAGCATGTTTTTCCTCCTATACTCTGATTACACCAGCCAGTGCAGAGATCCTGGGCTTTACCAACACTTAGATCACCTGGAATGCTCAGTATCACCCCCCCCAAACACTCTTACCTGGGTGTGAGTTACCTGCAGCACAGGATAATCACTGCTTGGTCACAAGATGGTGCAGTTGGGCAGAGTCAGGCCCTGCTCTGCTCTTACACAGGAGCTGAGGACCTGCCTTGGAGCTCTTGCTGCATCCTGGAGCATGTGGGGATCCACGAGATGAGTCTGTTCAGTGGATCCAATTTGGATTCAGGTGGAGCATCTTGGAGGTGCTACCTCTGTGTAACAGCAGCAGCAGGGGAGGGTCAGAGTCACAGTCAGGTCTGTAGTTACATCAGGCCCTGCTCTGAAGTGCCCCCCCAGGCTCTTTGTTGGGTTCACAGGTGCCAAACTGCCAGTGCTGCAGTTCAGAGCTGGTAAATCTGTGGATTCAGGGAGCCCAGCTGTTAGCTGGGAGGCTGTGGGGATGAGAATAGTGTTTTACTCCAGTTCTTTCCTCATTCACGTTGGTTTTGTGTTGTGAAGACCTTTGGCCAGTTCCCTTTTGGGTTTGTGGTGACCCAAAGCTCTCTGTGCCTGTGGGCTGGCTGGTGGCTTGTGTGACAAGTGTGTGGTTTGTTCTCCAGCATCCTGCCCTGCTTTGTTTGGCAGCTCCCAGAAGGAGCCCTCCCTGTGGCTTGGGAGCTTCTGGCTTCAGAATCTTCACTCCCTTAACTCCTCTTCCCTTTCTGTTCTCCAGTTTGATAGACAGAAGAGGATTTATCCAGCCAGATAACGGGAGCCCGTCCAGCCCTAAGAGCGAAATCCCTTCCTTTGGAGCCAAAACTGACACCAGCATGGTAGGAGGCCTTCCCTAGCAGTGCTGTGATGTTCCCAGTGCCTGCTGTGCCTGCACCTTGCTCCAGCCAGTACCTTTCCCTCTCACCACCTCCCAGCCTCAGGCAGGACAGCCCTGTGACCCAGAGCTGCCAAAGACTCACTCGAGCCATACGTTGCCTTTCTTTTTTTTTTTACATTTATTTATTATTTTTTTTTTTGTTTATTTGTTTCACTGTGATGTGGCCTGTCAGGACTTTTTGGCTGGCAGAGCCTGACAGCTTGTGGGACTCTGGGACTCGTGCCAAAAGCAGGGGTTCCTGCTGCACCCAGGGAGCCCCCAGACCTCTGAGCCCCCAGCGTCTGCTCCGGCGGATCGCTGCGATTCCTGCCGGGAGTCGTGAGGTGGGCCAAGGGTGGGAGGTGGGCACTGGCAAATGGTTTCCCCTCTGGGCTGGAGGAGGTATGAGCTCCCTGGTATCCCTGGTGTATCCACGAACACGTCCTGCTCCCCTGTGCCAACGTGGAAGGGCTGTTCTGTCCCTTCACAGCCAGGGTCTCACCGCGGCCGCTGCCGGAGTGACTTTCCTTGTCCAGAGGCTGCTGTGCCGTGGTAAGTTGGGCTGTTCAGATGGGAGGACTCTGGCTCCCAGCAGACCTGGGAGTTAGTGAGGATGTCCTGGTGCTGCTGGTCCTGTTTTCTGGCTGGCTGCTGAGGGAGGGGCTGAAGGACACTGTGTTTTGGCCCTGCCGGTTGGTCAGACACGTTTTGCAGCAACATGAGTTTGGGGGACCCTCCTTTAACAGGGAAGAAGAAACACTCTGTGCTCTGTGACTCCCCTCGTGACATGCTGGTTGGCAAGTCTACAGCTGTCAGATTTGGGAACTGTAGCCTGCCAGGATTATGTCCTGTCTGTAGGAGACCAAGAGTCAACAGAAAAGTGTGAATTCCTGAGGGTTCTGCCCTTTCTGGGTGGAGTTTTCCAGAGGAAGCAGTGAGAGGGTCTGATAACCTCATGATCTGCTCTTGGTTTGGGTTTCTGGACAGCAGTGTCCCCAGGGCTGTTCCCAGCAGCTTGGGAGTGATTCCAGCTGCCTGGGCTCACCCATGAAGGGATGTCCCCAGCCCCTGGGGAGCAGTTCCAGCTGCCTGGGCTCATCTGTGACCATCACTCTGCACCTGTGCAGCCAGCTCTGTGTCCCTGGGGTGCAGGGAGAGCCACAAACCTTGTAGCAATACTTGAATCAAGTTATTAAAAGCTGCTGGATGTTTTTGCACAATTTGTAGGGTTTTTTTCTACATAGAACGTTTTCTACCCGGGGCAGGGAGCGTTGTGCACGTTGGCACCAGGGCAGGGGCTTGCAATGCTGAGCTGCTCATTAGGTTTCCGTGGATCAGACACACCTATTTCAACCTCAGGCAGAGGCAGCACGTTTTGGGGGGCAGCCCAGCCCCCCTGAATTCACCAGCATCGTGCTCTGTACACTGAGTGCTTGTGCCTGGGGGATGGCAGAGGAGCAGTGAGGGGGGTTTACCAGGGGCCAGAATCCTTCCTGTTTTTATTTAAACCAGTTTCCTTTGTTACTCAATAAAATTCTATTTTTAAAGAGTTAATTGCTTGGGTTATTATTTTATTCCTTGAAGACAGAAGAGGGCAGGTGTCTCGGTGTTTGACATCTCTCAGGTGCCAGCTGGACTCTTGTAGTCTCAGGCCTCATCTGGAAGCTCCTGGAACCTCCTGCTATGAGGGATGAGCAGCAGCTGGTGCTGCTGTGACTCTTGCTGGAGTGAAGGGATTTTGCTGTCCCACATCTCCAGGCTGGGCAGAGTCTCATCCCCTTCCTGTTGTCACCTCAGCGTCCGTTCCCCACCCGCCTCGCCGGGATCTGTGCTCCCTGTCCCTCCCAGCCCCTCTGGCCCTGTGGCAGGTGCTGAGGTTCATAACCTCTGGTGTCTTCCCCAGGAGGATGCCTGCCAGGACTTTGCCATTTCCTGCACAGCCTGACGGGATTTGCCCCTCCTTGGACCTTAGCCCTGATTTCTGAGGGTTGGCTGGTAAGAAACCACTTTCTTCTCCCTCCCGTCCACTCGAGCCACCCATCTCATCTCCACTGCATGACCAGCTCTGTGCATGGAGCCCATCACCCTCCACCTGTGCTGACATCCCTGAGCCCCGTCCATCCATCCCACCAGCCCTGGGTTGTGGGGGTGAAGGGTCACCTGAGGGCTTTGCAGGAAGAGAAGGATGGGTTTGGTTTCCCCCAGCTTCGTGCTGGGGCTTGGCAAGGGATGGAGCTGCCTGGTCTGTGCGGGGTGTGTGGGATGGGTGTGTGGATGGGGGTTGGCAGAGGGGTCCTGCAGCCTGGGGCTGGCTGGAGGACACACCACAGTGCTTTGTGTTTGGTGGAGCTGCTGGGGTGGGACTGGAGAAAGCCCCCAAGGGATGCAGAGATTTAGTGTTCAGAGCGAGCTGTGGCCTGAGCAGAGTGGTGGAACCTGGAGCAGAGTTCTAATTCCAGCCCTGACCCATTCTGTGGGCCAGGCAATGCCTCCCCTCCCTGCCCTCTGCCTGTTCTCCTCTCTGTGACACCCAGTTCCCTCTCTGATGTGCCTGTGGCCCAGGTAAGTTCCTTCCAGGGCACGTCATGATGATCTGTGTCACCTGTGGGCTGCAGAGCTGCCTCTCTCCTTCCCTCCAGCACCCCACGAGCTCCTGCTGCTCGTGCCTTGGAGCAGTGATGGAGACCACTGTCCCTTCCTCCTGCCTCCTCCTCCTCCTCCTTCTCCATCTCACTGTCCCCATTCTGCCACCAAGCCCGGGTGCTCCACTCTGCTCCTGCTGCTCCTCGCTCGCGTATTTCTGGCACTAACCCTCTCTTTCTCTTCCTCCCCTCTCCTCTCCCTCGGGCCGGGCGGATCCAGCACCAAGAGCCCTGGCAGCCCGCAGCCCTCTGCGTCCCGCGGCGCGTCCCGCGGGGAGCTGAGCCCAGAGCCATGACCACCACCACGAGTGCCTCCGCTCGCCAGGGCTGCGCGGCCGCGCCTCCCTCCCTCCCTCCCTCCCGCCGCGAGACAGAGGGGAGGGGAAAGCGGCCGTGCACAAGGAAAAGCTTTTCCAACCCCGCTCCGGGAGCCGGGACGGCCGTCCCGCGGGTTCGGAGCTCAAAGCCATACAGCCGTCCCAGCCGAGTGCAATAACTGGAGTTCCTGCTGTCTCCTGCTGCTGGTGGCTCCCCGTGACCACCAGTGTGACCCTCAGTGACGGTGTCTCCCTGCTGTAGATGCTGGAAGGTCGTGGTTGGCACCCCAGTGGGCTTTTGTTAAAGAGGCAGGTTCGCACCAGAACGTTTACAGCCGAGCCAGTGGCATCACACACCCAACCCCACCAGCCCTTCCGTCTGTGAGAGGATTCTCCTCTCCAGGCAGGAGTTAGTACATGGTCAGTCTGCCCTTGCAACCCCCCTGGCCAGCTCCCACTTTCCAGTCTCATCTTAGCCCAGCTCTAGTTTTAGGGGAAGGGGTTCCAGCCCCGCAGCACCTTGAGTGGCCTCCCCTGCTCCGGAGGCTGCGGCTCCGGCCGGGCTGGGAGCTGAGCGGAGCAGCCAGGCCTGCCCCCAGCCCTGTAGGACTCACCATCTATTTATGCCTTTGACTTTTGTAACAAAAATAAAAGTTTCTCCTATTTACTGTACGCCGGCGTTTGGCTGCTGGGGGCGGCTCGTGCCTGGGCACGTCGGTGCCACGCTGGGCTGGGAGCCAAGGGGAGCCACGGAGGGCTGGCACCCCTCTGCCATCGGCTGTGTGGCCACGGGGACAGGAGCCAGGAGCTCCCCAAACTGGGCTGTGGCACAGTGCCCTCGGGGCAAGTCTCAGCCATCCATGGCTTTGCACCCTCCTGTGCAGCGGGAAGGGCCAGGCCAGGCTGGGGAAGGACACAGTGAGCACCCCTTGGAAAAATTTGTTGTCCACTGATGTTTCGGGAGCTGGCAGCGTCCCCCTAGCCAGGGGGAGCGGCAGGGCTGGATGGGGTGGCTGGACAGGCTGTGGGCATCCTTCCAGTGCCGCTGGGA